GACATGGGGGAAAGTAACTCGGAAAAATAGACAAGTATCCGGCAGGCATTATGGAAACAACCACAACCAGTCAAGGCTTTACCTGATTAATAACATCCTTCCAATTATTTCTTAATTTGTATCTATCTTCTCTGTGGAAGTTATGTCTATGTTCATATATCTGGATGGCTTCATGAACAAACCTTTGATAGTTGGTACATCAGGATTCAGTCCATGTTGGACCAAGTCTTCAATTATTGCTAAGGTGTCAGATACAGGAAACTTGGTGAACAGAGAGCTGATGAGCAAATCATCTGGGGACAGTGAAATGCCCTTGATTAGAGAGACCAAGTGAGCTGAGTTACATACTGCTGAGGTAGTCTTGCCCGTGAATTGAAGCAAGGTATCAGACAGAAATCGGGCCAGTTTGTAGGGTGGTGAGTTGATAGTGGAAACGATGGGCCGAAGTGGAGTACCTTCTTTATGGATTTTTGGAAGACCATAGAATCTGGGTGGTCTAGTTGCAGAAGGTTTTAGGGAGAGCAGATTGAATAGTTCGTATAGAGAAGTCGAATTGGTAATGATATTGTTGATTTTTGTAGCCAGGCAGTTGGTAGGATCTTTGTTGATTTTGGTGTAACTGCCATCATTAAGAAGGTCCTGGATTTTGTTGTTTTATGTGGTTTTATCCATTATGACAGTAGCATTGCCCTTGTCGGCTGAGAGGATGACTATGTCCTCTGTCTTTTTCAATTTGGCGAGTTCAGAGCGCTCATCTTTGCTGATGTTACTAATGGGTTTCTTAGTATTTTTAAGGATGGTGGCAATTTCAGATCTTGCCACGTTTGTCGGGATGTGCCCCAGAGGGCTACATCTATCTGGGCAATTATATCATCCACTGGGATGTGTTTGGGGGTGACAATAAAAAGCAGCCCTCTAGCTAGTACCGATTTTAGGCTATCAGAGATTGTGCTGTTATTCTTGTTGCACACTCGAAATGAAGACGTTGGGCAAACACATTTATTTCGGTTAATCTGTAGAAAGCAACAGCACGTGTGTCACACGCAGCAATCTTCACCGAGTCGCCATTGACCGCGTGCCTGGTGTTCACGTCCGGTTAATCATTAACAGTTTTCTGTTAAACCCACTTCTACTACTGATAAACCATCTTTGTCTCTGACAATAACATTTGCACTTCACTATTCGAATATTCCTTTAATCCTAAGCTGTATGTCTATCGACACCATCCACTTATATCGGTATCTTACACCCATTATCTGTATTGTCTGTGTACAGTATACGTACTGTATATCACCATTGTACAGCTTACTACTTTACATGTGTTCTATTGTCAATAGCATTGCAAGTAGTCATACGCTGGGTGCATGGGCATGGTTATCGAATAAACAGTATTAGGGTTAGAGAATTAATAATTAGAAATATTAACTACAGTACGTCATGCTCTTAGTTCTTTCGGTAAAGTCACGTAGGTAAAAAATTGAAATTAATAAAAATAAAACAATAAAAATCACGACGTTTCGGAGGCAACACAAGTCTCCGTCATCAGGTGGGACCGTCACAGCCAGATTTGCTGCATCAAGTGAGGCAAGGATTCAAGATGTGAGCCCTTAAAAGCAAGTTGAGGGGGGAAGAGAGGGGGGGGGCTCATCAGAATGTGGTAGCCAATGAATGGAACATATCGGGAGGGAGGGGGGCGGGGCTAAAAGAAGGCACGAAGTGCTACGTAGAACGTATCGGGAGGGGGAGGGGGGCGGGGCCAAAAGGATGCACGAAGTGGTACGCGAGAGTCGGCGACGTGGAAGTGGTTGTGCGCAAGTAACTATTGTTGCACATGCTAACGCATTGGACAGAGAGGGGGAGGGGGGGCCAAAAGAGAGTGTGGGGTGCAAGTGTACGTGGACATGTGTATGTACAAGCACCTGTTGATACACATGGTAGAAAAGAACGAAAAAGACCATGTTTATACCAGTGCTGGCTGAACAATAAAGAGAGTACTGTTAAACACTGGGGATGTTAACACTCGGTAAAGTAAAGTAAAATAGTGCCTGTCAGATAAGATGGTCCAAAAATGTGTAGTTAAGTCTTTTTTGCATGGTTGATAACATCTTTCCAATGATTACTAAGTTTGTACCCATCATCACGGTTGAAATTATTTCTGTGTTTGTATATCTGAATGACTTCGTGTACAAACCTTTGATGGTAGCCAGAGGGCTTGCAGAGCACCTTAGTCTCGGAGAAAACAATCTCATGAGAGCCCACCGCGTTGTAGCAATGATCGGCAACGGCGGAAGACTCAATTTTGCCGTGTTTCAAATCTGACTTGTGCTCGCGGACACGATCAGAGACATGACGTTTCGTTTCCCCAATGTAACAGTCACCACAGCTGCAACTCAGTTTATAGACTCCAGGGTATTGCAAGTCAGGGATGACATCCTTCACAGATGAAACCAGATCACGGATTCTATGTACTGTACTGAATCAGACCTGGATCTTATGTTTGCCCAGAATTTTGGAGATCTTTTTGGTCATGCCTGCTATGTATGGTAACGTGACAGTTTTGATCAGAGTTTCAAGTGGCTGTTTCTGTATGGTGGGAGAAACAGCTTGGCGGATGGTGCGTTCAGAGTATCCGTTCATCCTGAGGGCCCGATTTACATGTTTCAATTCACTGGCCAGGTGGTGTTGGTCAGAAATGCCATGAGCTCTGTGGTATAGCGTTTTGATGAGATAATTTTTTTGAGATGGGTGGTGGTGGGAATCGTGACAGAGCTGCAGCACCTTCTGACACGACAATGTTACGTGAGCTCGTCCGTGGTTCTAATCAGACGAACGCCATCTACCACTCTACATTGATGGCTCCCAGTCCTGGCAAAATTTCCAGGAGCTGGAGGACTTGCTTCTAAATGTTATGCACCCCTAAATCCTGGTGCTGGTGATGGGTCTATTTGGACAGTCTTGACTTAAAGCTTTCATGACTGCAGGAATACATATTCTATGGGTCTTTCGGTAAAGCCACGTCGATAGAAAAATAATAAAAAAATATCACGACGTTTCGATCACAACACAAGCAATCGTCTTCAGCTGAAGACGATTGCTTGTGTTGATATCTTCAGCTGAAGACGATTGCTTGTGTTGCGATCGAAACATCATGATATGTTTTTATTATTTTTCTATCAACGTGGCTTCACCGAAAGACCTATTTGGACAGTGTTTGTCCAAATTCTTTCACTGGCCTCTACAGCCGACACCATGGCAGACAGTGGCAGTTCTCATCCATCCCATCAGACGGGCACTCTGGGCCTGAGGTTCGTGGGTATCTGCATAAGGCAGCTACGACAGCGCATCGGCATTGTTGTGGCCTGCAACAACCCGGTGCACCACCATCATGGTAAACTCGTGCAGGTGCTCTACCCACCGAGCTATCTGCCCCAAAGTGCAGATGAAACTGGAGGGTGTGCCACAACGCTCGTTGTCGGTTCATGCTCTCAAGGGTAGGCCATATATATATATAGGGTTGGAACACCAATTTAAAGCACTCGGGCTAATAATCCTTTCCTGGTAACACAGTACTGCTGCTACGGCACCGTCAATGCCTTACTACCATACGCAATGACCCTCTGCATCCCGTTAAAGTCCGAGGACAATATCGACCCCAGGCCCACATTGCTAGCATCCCATATGAAGCGAGGTCTTGGTTTGTGTGAATGGGAATCTGCATCAGTCTGCTTTCAGACTTGGTTGATCAAAATCAGTTTTAGAGACCATAGCCCATCCGACCTTCACACTGGAGTGATGAGTGATGTAATGGCCACTTAGTGGCGAATGGCTACTGTATTTTGAATAAATGTGTGAGAATTGTATATTTGTACTCCGATTTGCACGATTGCCTATGTACGATGCAACAAAAGTTCAACACATATACGTCCTGCAGTAGTAATATCTGCACGTGTATGTCTGTTCGTCTTTGTATAGTGTGGTGACCTCAGCAAATCAGGAAGGAATTTGCTTGAATCGTGTATTATCATTTTTCATATAAATTATTTCCTCACTCATAATTGGATCCTAAATATACACTGTAAAGTTCCAATGATGACTACTATCAATCGTACTTTTTCTGCCTTTTCTTAATGTACGCGTGATTGAAAGTCTCTCCACACGGTTTCAGTTATGAGGACCATGGCTACTTCTTCTCAAATGGCAAACCACATACTTGGATGGGTCCAGGGGGATTGCTGATTGAAAATGGTAAATACAATTGACACCTATAAATATTGCAGTATTTTCAATATAAAAGAGGTCATACTTTTTGTAGGTGATTCAGAAAACAATATTAGTCGAGGTGCGTGTGAATCTATGATGCATCACGTTTTATACCTTGAGTGTTGTTCTTTATTGAGTATTCTTAGGTTTTTTCGGTAAAGTCACGTAGGTAAAAAAATTAAAATTAATAAAAGTAAAATAAAAATAAAATTATTGAGTGTTGGATATTGCGAAAATACAGGTGCTGCAACTCCCCTGACTCTCCCTGGCATCACTACCAACACCATTTTGTCAGCTTTATTCCCACATAGTTGTACACCAGTAGGTCTTGAAGGTTGAGGTGGGATTCAATGGAGTTGGTTTTTAGAAAATGTATTGGGTTACCCTGGACAATCTCAACAATTAGTTATGTAAATAAGGACACGTCCAACCTGTAATGCCAGGTGGTAAGTTAATTGTTGGAGTGTACCATAAAATAATGAAAAAATATAGAATTAATAAAACAATTGTATCTTCCAATTAGGGTCAAGTATTCTTAAATTTCTGAAAATATCAGTTTAGTTAAAGTAAGGCTTACTGAATTGGAAAAAGGTGACAAAAAATCAACCGACGACCAATGTACATGTTCTTGATAGTGCTACATTGACCTTGTGCTGTATAGAGATGGCTACCACTGGGAATCGGTTAGCTCGACTGCCACAGATCACTGGAAGGATTGACATGAATAAAATACATCTGCAAATTCTGTAATGCACACAGTTTTTGTTACATTGAGAAGTGCAGGAAACCATAGGCAAGCGAAAACGCATCTTGAACCGGGCCTAACAATTTTCCAAAGCTCCGTAGCCCTATATTGGGATGTTTGGACAATTCCATTAATTCGTGTTTATAATAGTATCGAATTTAATGGAACGTTGAGATGCTAAGGCATTTAATAGCCTCACAAATGCTGATCCTTTTTCTTAAGGAAGCATGACCACTATGGCATCACTCTCTTTGAATGAACATACACTAATTTCCGAACGTGTTTCACAATCTCCTCATCCCTGCTGCCGTACAAAAAGGGGCTCATGAAGCGAGGAATCACGTGCAGCATTAAGAAGAATGTAACCCTGACTATAAACGTGGCCTCAGCCTTCAGGTGCAATAACTCTGCTGACTTGTGGAACATCGGCATGGCCACCGGCAGGAGGCACAGACCCAGCTGGATTCCGTGCAGGATTATGGTCTTTCTAGCCTTAGAAAAGCTACTATATCCCTCTGAGGCCCTCTTAGCGGCCCGAGCCGTCATGGCATAGGACATTGCTACTAACAACACAGAAAATATAAATACCGTGTACAAAAACGTGTCACGGATAATAGTTGCTGCCACTCCATACGGCATGTCTGCATCCAACTCGTTCATTTCACATACAATTTGGTGCTGGGTCATGAAGAGCAGGCCACTGGCTACACAAAGAAAAAGACGGATGGTTGGCACTGACAGAGACAGTAAGCAGACGCCAGCAACTACCTGTAAAACACAAATATTCACATGAGTTGAATCAAAGAGTTGAACCAAACTGAAAACCGAAACAAAACAATGATAATCATCTTGGGTTCTTTTTACCGAAATTGCACCCGGAACCGGAATTAAATTTGTTACAATGGAAAAGACAGGTACCAGTTTAAACGAGTTCAATATAATCTTGATTTGAAGCTTTCGTGACTGCAGGAATCCATACTTTGTGGTTCTTTCGGTGATTTATTTTATTTTATACTTACGTGACTTTACCGAAAAAACCAAAGAGTACGAGTTCAACATAGAATTGTAAAGATTATTGACCAAAATGCTCCTGAAAAAATGGTCCTGAGACTAAATGCGGTTTTCTTTGATAAATGTCATTGCAATTTCTCCTCAAAATAACGTGAACAGATGTATTAAGATCAACATGTCACCATCATGGCCAAACCCGTTGATGTTACCACACCTCGCCAATGCTCTATATCTTCCACCAGGTCCCACAACGACCGCCTTTATAGCATTCCACCACTTGGCCTTAGATCGTCCCCTTTATCATGAGACTCGTGGAAAAACCACTCCAATGGCTGTCTCAGCAACTAGCTCTCCCTGATCCCACATGCATTTCCCACACAAAGTAAACAATTTAGCATGATCATGTACCTAATGTAATGCCTTTGGGTTTCACGGCCAATCAACGTCATCATCACGATCCATGGGCAGATAGCCTATAGGTTTCTACTGCAGATTTGATCATTTGTTTCGAATATGCTCAAATAGTGCACAATCTCTTACGTAGCGAAGCCATCCTCTTTTAGGTCTTCCTCTCTTTCCTGTTACTTCCATTTTTCCAAATAACACACTTTTTATTTTCCTGTTCATGTTCGCCCTACATATATGTCCAAATAGTGCTACTGTTCTTCTCATCACTGGCTGCATCAGGTTTTCTTGTATGTGCAACCTTTTTCTCACTTCTACGTTGGTGACTCCTTGGCTCCAACTTAGATGCAGTAACCTTCTGTAGCAATATATTTCGAGTGCCAATATCTTATCTCTGTCAGTCTTTTTTAATGCCCAAGTCTCCCCGGTATACAACGTTGTACTGAACACACATGTTCTTAAAATGCTCAGTTTGGTCTTGTAGCTGATTTGCTTGCTTCTCCAGATGTTATTTCAATCCTGACATTACTCATTTGGCCTTTGCGATCCTCGCTCGTATGTCTTCCGTGCAGTCGTACCATGTCAGTAGACTTCCCAAGTTTACAAATCCCTTAACATTTACAATCTTGCTGCATTCTATCCACTCTGCCTTGACGAGCTGTAGGTCTGGAAATTCTGGGCTTCATATGGCAGTGAGTAGATGTTTCTGCATATAGAAGAGGGCTCCTTGGTGAGTGTTGCCCTTGGCTCCCTTTGGGAGGTCATGGGTCTTCAGCTGCCATTTCCTTCCATTAGCGTCCAGCTTGTTATTGGCTACCTCCAGTTACAACAGTCTGGCTTTGTACGTCTTGACCAGCTCATTTTGCTCCACTGTTGCGGCTTGGAGGGTCGTCGTCAGAGCTTCCTGTTTCTCCACTCTCCCATTGACACCACTCAACCTCTTATTGACAATTTGAAGCAAAGCTGTGTTTTTCTCCATCTGTCGAATTAGCTGCTCGATCCTCTTCAGGACGGTCCAAAGTAGCTCCGCCGCTCCTCCTGGGAAGGTCTCGTGTTTCACTTTGACCGGGGAGGCCAGTGGGGATGAGGCCTTGGAATTTCTGCCTGGGGCTCTGTCTGCCATTGAGCACAAGGTGATGAGCGAGTGTGTTATTCTAGACTTTGCACAGGCATTGGTTACACAAAGAGGGCCTTGGGTCTCTATAGTCCTATATCTGCTCAATTAAGTAAAAGAAAGAAAAAAACTCCCTCTGGGCTATTGGGACTAAAAAATAAGAAATACTCTATAAGACAGAAATTAAGGTAGTGTAATGGGTGTACTAGGTTGAAATTCAAAGAAGGGGTCGGAGAGGTCCATTCAGCGCTGCTCACTCGGCCATGACGTCACCAGAAGTCCCGAATAACACACTTTTAAATGTCCTGTTGTCCATCCTATGTATGATGAAATGGAGGCAAGTCACTGGAATTCTCTGTGATCGGAAAATGCCGGATAGGCTGAAGGGAAAAATATACAAGACCATCGTCCGACCGGTGGCACTCTATGGATCCGAGTGCTGGCCAGCCACAACTGTACACGAACAAGCTCTCCACACCATGGAGATGAGGATGCTCAGATGGAGCCTCGGGCTCACTCGATGGGATCGTGTCAGGAACGAAGACGTTCGGAAGCGACTTAGTGTGGCCCCCATTGCGGACAAGATGCTTGAGGCAAGGCTTCGGTGGTACGGCCATGTGATGCGAAGTGAAGAGTCATCAGTGGCCAAGACTGCCGTGCGTATTGAGCCAGAGGGCCGCCGTCCACGCGGACGTCCGAAGAAGCGATGGATGGACCGAATAAAGGAAGACATGAAGACGGTCAACGCATCCCCTGAAGATGCCCTTGACCGAGCCAAATGGAGAAGACAATGCCGAAAAGCGGACCCTGTGCCACAGCGGGAACAACGCTAGGAAGAAGAAGTCCATCCTATGTATGTGTCGACATAGTGGCAGTTTCCTTCTCATCACTGCCTGGCATCAGGTTTTCTTCTATGGCAACTTTTTTCATAATTCTACGTTGGCCACTCTTTTGGGCCCAGCTTAGATTGCAGTATCCTTCTGTAGCAATATGTTTTGAGTGCCAATATCTTGATTTGAAGCTTTCATGACTGCAGGGATCCATATTCTTTGGTTCTTTACCGAAAGAACCAAAGAGTATACCAACATCTTATCTCTGTCAGTCTTTTTAATGTCCAAGTTTCGCAGGCATACAAAGTTTTACTGAACACGCCTGTTCTTAAGATGTTCAGTTTGGTCTTATAGCTGATTTGCTTGCTTCTCCAGATGTTATTGAATACAGTCATTACTCCGTTTGCCTTTACGATTCTCGCTCTTTCTTGCAGTTCTTGTCCAATGTCAGTAGACATCCCAAATATACAAATTCCTTTACATTCACAATCTTGTTGCTTTCTATTCTTACTTCTTTTTCAATGTTCTCCCTTCTGAATACCATTGTGTTTGTTTTTTTCCACGTCAATCCTCAGTCTTGCATTCTTTCCTTATTCAGTATATGAAGACGTTCCTGTAGTATAATTGAGCTTTCTTCCATTAGATTTATGAGGCTCGCGAATGTCAGGTTATTTATTCTCTCTCCTTCAACAGATTTTCCTATGCAATTGTCCTGAATGGCATCCATCACTCTTTCCAAATATGTCACAAAGTTGTTTGGTGATAATGTATCTCCCTGTCTCATACCTATTGTTGTTGGGAACCATTCTATTTCCTGTCCAAACTTTACAGCTGACTTTGACCTTTAACTTATATCCTTCAGAATCTGTATGTCTCTTTTATACTTAGTATGATCTTACACTTGCCCACGTTATATTTTGCTCTGTCGAATCGAATGCTTTCTCTACTGTAAGCCTTAACATCAATATTTTCTGTACTGCATTCCTATTTTTTCCCAAACCCTGCCTGTTCATCTGCCAAATAATCCTCAGTCTGCGCTTTCAATCGATTTAATAGTACTATCACTAGTATCTTCTCAATGTGGCTCATGAGTGTGATGGGTCTGTAGTTTTTACAGTCGGCGAGATCTCTTTTCTTGTGTATCGTCACAAGTATGGATTTAATCCACTCCTCTGGTATTTTCCCTTCTCTCCATACTTGCTTGCAAAGCAAATGGATTTCTTTTATACGTTCCTTCCCTCCAGCTTTTATAATTTCTCCACTTATATCGTCCACTCCTGGACTTTTATTTATTCACATGCTTTATTGCCTTTGTAACAGTTGTTATAACTTTATTCATCCCTCGGTGTTGTGGAAGAAAAATGTTGTTCATTCGGCAGCACTTTATTCTTTTGATCCGTATCCCTACACAAATCGCTACAATACTCAGTCCATTTCTTTTTTGCATCTTCTCTGTCCATCAATATCTTACCATCCTTGCTTTTTATGGCTGTTTACCTTGGTTTACACTTCCTATTTGTGCTCTTGATTTGTTTGTACACTTCTCTGGTCTTGTATTCTCCAGTGTCGTATTCAATGTCACTATACTGCTTTTCCAGCTATGCCTGCTTATCCTTTCTTGCTGATGTGTAGCGTCAGGTATTTAGTCACCATCTCATCCGATTTTTTTTCTTTAACCTTATATTAAATCTTCTTGGTTCTTTCGGTAAAGTCACGTAGAAGGGAAGTAATAAAATAATAAAAATAAAACATAATAAAACAATTCTCACGACGTTTCGGCTACAACGCAAGCAGCCGTCTTCAGGTGAAGAATGAGACAATGCCAAGCTAGGAGCTTATATATAAGCTGCGTTGGAGGTGGAGGAAAGAGCGCCTTAACAAAAGAATGTGCATGTGAAGAGGAATTTAGCATATTCATGGCAAATGCGTAGGAGGTGGGCGGGGGGGTTTCAAAGTCATATTATGCCCATGCATTATGCAGGATCAACAGCACCAAGGGTGGGGGGGGTGCAGGGATTAGCAGTAACAAAGGAAAGGAATGTTAATGATATGTAGCTGCAGTTACTCAACCACCACGTAGAAAACTAAAGTATAAACTACATAAAAAACTAAAGTATAAATAGCATAGCACCATCAGTATACTTACTATACTCTACACTAAGCTGAGTTACTAACAGCAAGTAATACATTACAATTCTACGTCGTAAAAATTATATAATATGCTTCCATCTAAACTTTATTCTATTGCATCAACGAGCATATACCGTACTATATACTGCCAACATTAAATTATATACTGTATTGCTGTAAACCAACCTATATCTTATACATTTAATATAACACTATGTATTATTCTACCCACCCTAATGTGTGTCGAAATGGTTTATTACGTCCTTCCAATGATTGCTAAGCCAGAATCCATCTTCTCGGTTAAAATTGTCTCTGTGTTTGTATATGTGGATCGCCTCATGAACGAATCTCTCATGATAGCCAGATGGCTTGCAGAGAACCTCTGTCTTGGAGAAGTCAATGTCATGTGAGCCCACTGAATTGTAACAGTGATCTGCCACGGCTGAGGTGTTTGTCCTACCGTGTTTCAGGTCTGCCTTATGTTCACGGATGCGGTCCGAGACATGTCGTTTGGTTTCCCCAATGTAACTGCTACCACAGAGGCAACTTAGTTTGTAGACGCCAGGGTACTGTATGTCTGGAACCACATCTTTTACAGACGGGACCAGATCACGGATTTTATGTACTGTGTTGAATCGGACCTGGATTTCAGATCTTGCTACGTCTGTAACCCTCAAAAACGCTAAGATGCCAGCTAGCAACATTAGCAAAGATGAGCGTTTTGAATTAGCTCAATTAAAAAAGAGGGATGACATTGTCATCCTCTCAGCCGACAAAGGCAATGCCACTGTCATCATGGACAAAATAGAATACAACAACAAAATTCAAGAACTACTCAACGATGGCAGCTATACAAAAATAAAAAGAGACCCCACCAACAGCCTCGTCTCCAAAACCAACAACATCATTTCTGCTTCAACCGCATTAATTGATCAGACCAAACAGTTCTCGTTGAAACCTTCTGCAGCCAGGCCACCAAGATTGTACGGCTTGCCAAAGATACATAAAGAAGATACACCTCTTCGTCCCATTGTCTCTACTATCAACTCCCCCACTTACAAACTGGCTCGTTTTTTGTCCGAAATCCTACGGCCTTTCACTGGAAAAACCACCTCTGCAGTACTAAACTCTACTGACCTGGTATCGACAATCAAGGGGATTGCCCTGTCCCCAGACGACCTGCTTGTCAGTTTTGATGTGGTTTCCTTGTTCACCAAGGTGCCTGTGCCTGACACCATCGCAATCATTGAAGACTTGGTTCATCAAGGACTGAATGCTGGGGTACCCCCCCTGGTGAGACACTGCTTAACCAATACATACTTCACCTGGAATGGAACCTTCTACAAGCAAATTGAGGGCACCCCAATGGGCTCCCCCCTATCTCCGGTTGTAGCCAACATCTTCATGGAGAAATTTGAGACGGACGCCATCCAGACTGCCACTCTACGCCCGACCTTATGGAAGAGGTACGTAGACGACACTTTTGTCATCTGGCCACATGGCCGGCCTGCTCTAGACCAATTTCTCGACCACATCAATTCCATACACCCAGCCATCAGATTCACCATGGAAGTCGAAAATGATGGCAAGCTACCCTTTTTGGATGTCCTAATCAAAAGGAGACCTGATGGTTCAATGAGCCACTCTGTCTACAGGAAAGCCACCCACACGGATGCTTATCTAAAACCGGATTCCCACCACCATCCATCCCAGAAGAATTCCCTCATCAAGACTCTATATCATAGAGCCCAATGCATCTCCGACCATGAACACATTTCCAGTGAACTCAAACACGTACGCCAAGCTCTTAAGGCTAATGGTTACTCCGACCACACAATCCGCAAAGCCATCACTCCAACCATCAAGAAGGATCCTGTTGAGGAGCCTTTCAAGACCATCACCTTACCCTACATTGCTGGGGTCACAAAAAAGATCTCCAAAATCCTGATTAAACACAAGATCCAGGTCCGATTCAACACAGTACATAAAATCCGTGATCTGGTCCCGTCTGTAAAAGATGTGGTTCCATACATACAGTACCCTGGCGTCTACAAACTAAGTTGCCTCTGTGGTAGCAGTTACATTGGGGAAACCAAACGACATGTCTCGGACCGCATCCGTGAACATAAGGCAGACCTGAAACACGGTAGGACAAACACCTCAGCCGTGGCAGATCACTGTTACAATTCAGTGGGCTCACATGACATTGACTTCTCCAAGACAGAGGTTCTCTGCAAGCCATCTGGCTATCATGAGAGATTCGTTCATGAGGCGATCCACATATACAAACACAGAGACAATTTTAACCGAGAAGATGGATTCTGGCTTAGCAATCATTGGAAGGACGTAATAAACCATTTCGACACACATTAGGGTGGGTAGAATAATACATAGTGTTATATTAAATGTATAAGATATAGGTTGGTTTACAGCAATACAGTATATAATTTAATGTTGGCAGTATATAGTACGGTATATGCTCGTTGATGCAATATAATAAAGTTTAGATGGAAGCATATTATATAATTTTTACGACGTAGAATTGTAATGTATTACTTGCTGTTAGTAACTCAGCTTAGTGTAGAGTATAGTAAGTATACTGATGGTGCTATGCTATTTATACTTTAGTTTTTTATGTAGTTTATACTTTAGTTTTCTACGTGGTGGTTGAGTAACTGCAGCTACATATCATTAACATTCCTTTCCTTTGTTACTGCTAATCCCTGCACCCCCCCCCCCTTGGTGCTGTTGATCCTGCATAATGCATGGGCATAATATGACTTTGAAACCCCCCCGCCCACCTCCTACGCATTTTCCATGAATATGCTAAATTCCTCTTCACATGCACATTCTTTTGTTAAGGCGCTCTTTCCTCCACCTCCAACGCAGCTTATATATAAGCTCCTAGCTTGGCATTGTCTCATTCTTCACCTGAAGACGGCTGCTTGCGTTGTAGCCGAAACGTCGTGAGAATTGTTTTATTATGTTTTATTTTTATTATTTTATTACTTCCCTTCTACGTGACTTTACCGAAAGAACCAAGAAGATGAATCCCTGCAGTCACGAAAGCTTTAAATCGAAACTTATATTAAATTTTTGTTGTGCTAGTTTTCTCATGGTATTGTTGCTTCTACTGCTTGCTCAACTTTTTTCTTGCTATCTCTGTTCTATTTTTCTCCCCTGATTCTACTCGATATTTCCTTTTCATATTTCCTCCTTGTCTCCTCGTTTTCGAGTACATCTATGTTCCTCTTCTTCTCTTATTGCGTTTTAAATATATGTTTTAGTGTTAGTCTTAGGCCGCATCTTACGTTCAATGACACATCGGCCCCTGGGAATGTTCTGCATAGTCAAACTGATGTTTTCCAGTGTCAGTCGATCATTACCATATCTATCACGTTCGTATGTTTTCTCTCTATGACCATTTTCTGCAGTATTTTTGTTTGATCTTAATATTACATATGACCTTGTCATGTTTTGAAGTGAATTCTCGCCGTTTCTCGCCTGTTTCCTTTCTTGCTCCATATACATAACATTGAATGATGCGTTCTCATTCGGTGTTATCCTTCTCAAGTTTTGCATTCTTATCTCCCACAATTGTCTTAATATATTTCCTAGGAAGTTTATTTTACGTACTTTCTAGCGTTTTATAGAATTATTCAATATGCTCTTGTGCACAATCTGATGTTGGTGCATATATAATTAAGGATTTCCCATTAAATATCGCTGCAATTACCCTTGGACTAACTGGTATGTATCCCAAGAATAATGTTTTGAATTTTGTGCTTACGAAGAACCCTACTTCTCTGGTGTGCACTTTATCTTCCCCTGGCCAGATCACTTCACTTCGATTTATTTCCCCCATTCCTGTTCATCTAATTTCTGCCAATTCTAGGATGTCGTACCTCTATTTTTCAATTTTCTTTCTCAGCAGCTCTAACACTATAGACAACAAGACAAGCTCTAACTGTCCTGTTGCCCATAGTGTTCTCACATCCCATGTCCCTAATGTAATCTCCTAATTCGCGACCAATATTATGATTAATATTTAGTTTATTTTGGGTTAGACTATTTAGGTATAATTCTTTTTAAACTATAACCCTCCAAAAACTGACAGAATCAATAAAATCAAGCTGTCACAACTCAAAGGGCATATTTGCTCATTTGACAACTTGATTTGATCAGCTCTGTTGGGTGGTGGAGTGTTATGGTAAAATATGTACATTTTCGCTTTCAAATTATCTAAGCCAAAATGAAATAGTAATACAACATATTACCTTTCATGTTCTATCTCAGACAATGATAATGAATATTCAACAACTTATTTAGTTTGTGTTAAACTCCATACTGGAATACAAATATCACTCCTCCCTCAAATACAATATCATTTACACCGAGATGTATCTTTTCTTCCAAAGTAATGTACATATCCCATGAAAAAAATATTAGTGCCCACCATATAATGGATTGATAAACAAAATAGGGGGTGGGTGGCATTACAAAAATGAAAAAAAATGGAAGATTTTAAAATCGCACATTACAGAGCAATGCTGACTTATTATTTGAAACGTCTACATTTTTGTAGAATCGTTACCACATCTCCATACCAAGTGTGTTCTTATAATACTTGTGAAGTTGCGTTAATATTTAATGTTTGCTTTGTAATATACTAGCTTTACGACCCAGCTTCGCCCGGGACTTGGATTCTTGTCTTGGATTAATACACGGCCTACGCGAAGGGTTGGAGGGGATGCTTGACGTCAGCAGGCACACTGCGTGACGCTGCCGCATGCGGGTGACATCACACATGTGACATCACCGCTCACTTGCCGTGCAAAATATATCCACTATTGCGCCCCCCCACCCCCCCCCCAAATACAAAAGTAGTTTTTTATACGTTTTGCATTGTGTACAACCTGGAAGCTACCCACATGCCAGATTTCAAGTTTGTTGCATGTTGGGAAGTATGCTAAACATTTCGAAAAGACACACATTCACAAATTTCTCTTTTATATGTATGGATTGTACATTTTTAGTACTCCAAAATAAAAGCTATGAATGTGATACATTTATTTGTATTGGTAGACTGTAATATATATTTTAAGAAAACGGAAATACCGGGGGTACCACTCAAGATACTGTGTATTATTACTATCATCATCCAGTATGGTGCTTTATGTGACACTCATACCACCTCCAATAATATACCTGCAGGCCGGACTGTCGGTGGGCCAGTTGGTGGTATCGCAGTGGCTGGCATATAGCCAAGCAGCGCTCCAGAGCCATGGCCGTGATGGTAAGGGTGCTGTTGATATGAAGCGCCATACTCAGGTTGATTAAAAAACAGCAAAGCACGCGAATCATCGAGATGCGCTCCAATCTTATTGTCATCATCATTCCCGATATGAACACGTAGAGCATGTCGCTGGTCATCAAGTTCATGAAGAGGATGTATTTGGTGCTCTCCATGAAGGTAGTCACCCGGTTGAAGAGACACGCCATGAGCACAAACATCACAAAAGACGGCAACCACGTGATCAGCAGTACAGCATACACCACATGATTAGTGGTGCTCCAGATCTGCTCTGGTGGGAGCGAGGTCTCGTTTTTGAAAGATCCATTAATTGGTAGAGTTGTCATGTTTTTTGTTCAATTCTGTAACCGGAAACACACGTGGATGGGGGAGGGAGGAACGAGTTATAAAAATAATCCATACGTATTAATCCTGTAACACTTTCCAACATGATTATGTCCTTGGTGTAGTTATCTAGGTGTATAAAAGCCGACATGTAGCTGAAAACGCGTTTAATATTTGCAAATATAGGCAGTCTCGAGCTTCCGACTTATGGACATCTGCACTTACGAACGAACCACCTTAAGATGTTATTTTTAACCATCTGACTTGTGAACATTCGCTTGTACTTATGAGCCGAATATAACTATTTGGTTCAGCGTAGTGATCTTCTGCGAGAAATAATGGGGCCTAGCATCCTAGAAACGCCCTTTCTGACAAGCAAGCCAGCATCAAAACTTAAGGTAAGTGAAAACAAAGCTGATTTTTAAAATGTTATTCATTGTTTTATTTACTACTAGCGGGAAGTTGCTGGCGTTGCCCGGGGGAAAAATATATTTCAAAATTTATCTTAAAAACATAACATATACATGCAAAAATACTAAGCTATTGTGAAATCCCGACGTGCCGTTTGTCTCTCCATTTGTCCATCAACTAAATTATAAGAGGCTTGCAGAAGTTCTAGAGAACGGGGGGGGGGTAAATAGTTGATCTAAAAGGTTTCCGAAAATTGTCGACCCCCCCCCCCCCCTCAAAAAATATTTTTACCCCCGCGTACACCCTACATACAATAGAGTGAGTAGTATCTAGTGACTCGATAGTAGTGTAGTTAAATTGCGGGATGTCACTGTGCAGGCAGTGTCGGCCCTCGAGCGGCACAGCGTGCGATGTAATAACATCGCGGATACCACAATGGTGTAGGCCCGGTGAGCGCTGATTGATAGCGCGAGATGGCGCTAGATGGCACCACACTTGGCGTGTAGTGCCAGCCTTTGGCACTCTGGTTGACCCGAGAGGACATATTTATATATTTACGCGATCTAACCCAAAAACCTCTATTATGGATGATATTGGTCGCGAAAGCCTACGTGTTAAACTGACTAACCTCTTTGGGGAGGATACTTTTCTTCTAACCAGAAAACTGAAGAAACTCCGAATTAAGTGGATGAAACTGTGGTCTTCACTGGTGTTCCTCAAAAGATGCAGAGATTCAAAGGTTATTCCACACCCAGTTAAAGTAACTCATAACATTAAGTCACCTAAAGCTAACCAAATACTACATACAGCTAGTGAGTTGTTGCTAAAAGAGAGAATACAGCATAATAGAAGTGAACTAAGTCACACTTCTAAATCACTAATGTCCTTACACGTAAAAATTTAGTAACAGTGTCTCTACAGATCACTGGAATATAATCGACACAATTACACAGCAATCAGCTGATAATGCATTGAACAAAACTAACACTACCCAAATTAACAAATTTGCTCGACTAACTAATAAACAACCCTCAACTAAAAATGAGCATTTCATAAACAAAACGATTATCAACATGACTAGCGTTGAATTATCCAGCGATATGGTGTCAGTCCTGTCTAAAGGTCTTAACTTTGCTGTTGCTCCACGTACAATCCCATTCGATGAGATAATTGCGGAAGTAGAATCAGCAGTTAGACATCTCCCTCATAATCAAGCTGAGATGACTAGGCACGAGGTTGCCAAAATTATTTAGAACAGCAAAGTGCCAAAAACAAATAGCAACTTCAGTGAAGTAAAAGCCTTAAGAGAATTGAGAGCAAATAAAGATATCTAAATTATTGCTGCTGATAAGGGCCGATCGACTGTTGTGATACCCCGTGAGGACTATGATAATAAAATCAAAGATTTACTCGATGAAAATTAAACGAGACCCAACCAGCACCTTGGAACGTAAAATAACGGCAATCATTGCCAAGTCAATTCCCACGGAAGACCAATACCTGATCAAACCAAGGGCATCAAAACCAGCAAGACTTTATGGGCTACCAACAATTCACAAACCTGATGTCCCATTAAGACCGATTGTTAGTAAAATAGGCTCTGCCACGTACAACTTAGCACAATACGTAACGAAACAAATACAGCCCTACATCGGTAGGACCTCTTCGTTCATCAAAAACTCTGAACATCTCGTAAATATAATTAAAGATATTAAGCTTAATCCTAATGATATTCTCGTAAGTTTTGATGTGACCTCTCTGTTCACGAGGGTTCCGGTCAACGAGTCAATTAAATTACTCGACACTCTGGTAACGAACAAAGGTTTAGCACTTTAGCCAAATATATCTCAAGACTAGCTGAACACTGTCTAAAGAACACTTACTTCTTGTGGCAAGGTGACTTCTATAAACAAAAGGAAGAAGCAGCAATGGGCTCTCATTTGTCTCCTGTGATAGCGAATTTGTACATGGAAGCTTCTGAAACAAAATCAATAGCTTCAAGCACACTAAAACCATCTGCTTGGTATAGATATGTGGATGACACATTGGTGGTCTGGCCACACAGCAAAGATACACGGAACGCATTTCTAAATCTTCTCAGCTCGCAAAACCTATACATCCAGTTCACCATGGAAGTGTAAGCTGACAGAACTCTACCATTTCTGGATATTTTTCTCGAACGGAAATGGTAAAGTAACACACTGTGTTTACCGAAAGAAAACGCGTACTGATGCCTATCTGAATGCAGAGTCACACCATCACCCCGCACAGAAATATGCTCTTATCAAGACGCTCATTCATCGAGCTAAGAAAGTGTCAGATGGTGACAGTCTGAGAAGTGAAATTCAACATGTTAAAAAAGCTCTGCAAATGAACGGTTACAATGATGCACAAATCAACAGGGCATTGAATACCGAAACCAAATCAAATAACAAGAGCATTGAACTCATCTTCTTGGTTCTTTCGGTAAAGTCACATATAAGGGAAATAATAATAAAACATAATAAAATACAATTCTCATGACGTTTTGGCCACTTCATTCAGGCGCTGTCTTTCCGACAGACCTGTTCTTCACCTGAGTTCGGCTGCTTGCGTTGCGGCCGAAACGTCGTGAGAATTGTATTTTATTAGGTTTTATTTTTATTATTTTATTATTTCCCTTCCACGTGACTTTACCGAAAGAACCAAGAAGATGAATCCCTGCAGTCACGAAAGCTTTAAATCGAAATTTAAGAGCATTGAAACTGCCCAAGTAATTAAAACGATAAAAATACCGTACATTGCGGGAGTAACTGATAAACTAGCCAGATGTTTGGAAAAACAAAACATCCCAGAAGGAGTGTACAGGATTAACTGCATGTGTGATGAATGCTATGTTGGACAAACAGGACGAATGATCAGCACGAGACTAAAAGAACATCAGAGAAATATTAAATTCTTCCAAACGCAACTGTCAGCAGTAACAGAACATGTGTGCCAACAAGGACACTCAATTGATTTTGATAATGTTGAAGTTTTGTGCAAAACCAGCTACTACTGGGCAAGACTAATTAGAAAATATATCGAAATTGAAAGAAATCAAAATAACTTTAACCGTTCCGATAGCTACCGTCTTAGTGCTCATCAAATAATACAAATATTTAAATGCATGCCTACAAAGGGCAGCGTACTTCAATAGGGATTACCGTTGGTAGGGCTATTTTAATAAACACAATAGACAGGAAGGACAAGTTCAAAGGGCTCGTATAATGCACACGCATAATGTACGTTGCCTCAGTAATTCCCCCCTCCCCAGTGTGCAAGAGCGCAGACGGGTGGTCAACACATCTATGCCTCTATATAAGGAACTGGATGATATTGATCACGAACGCCTACGTGTTAAAGTGACCAGTTAAGTCTACAAAGGGGCCCCAAGTGGGGGCTAGGGGTGGTCACGTGGTTAGCATCCAGATCCTTCCCGAGGATTCTGGAAGGTGGTTGTGGCCAAGACCGGAGCCAGCCATGCTGCAGAGAATATAAGCCGAGTCTCCAGAGGGACCGGGGTTGTTGTTCATCCTGAAGAAACCTTCGTCAACGTTCTACGTTCTCCGCTCAACGAGTCTCCAACACGTGGACCTGGACCCGAGCTGTGGTCCCAGTCCATCGTAGCTAGTTACGTTGTAATTAGTGTAGTTAGCCTGGTGGTCACAACCATAGGTTGTTATTCTGTTAAGGGGAAGTTGCCCCATGTGTTGGAGTTAAATAAATGTGTTGCCTCCAAGTATACGTCTGCGACTCAGTTGAACTCACTACAGTAGTAGCAGACTCTACAGTAGTATCTACTGACTCTATAGTAGTATCTATTGACTCTAAAGTAGTATTTACTGACTCTGTAGTAGTATCTGCTGACTCTATAGTTGTATCTACTGACTGTACAGTAATATCTACTGAGCCCAGTAGTAGCTACTGACTGTATAGTAGTATCTACTGACTGCAGTAGTACCTACTGATTGTAGTAGTATCTACTGACCCTACAGTAGTAACTACTAACTTCATAGCAGTATCTACTGACTCTATAGTAGTATCCTCTGACTCTATAGTAGTATCTGCTGACTCTATAGTAGTATCTACTGACCGTAATAGTATCTACTGACCCTACATACTTTAGTAGTATTCACTATCACTACAGTAGAATATACTGACTGTAGTACTATCTACTATCACTACACTAGTATATACTGACTGTAGTAGTATTTATTATCACTACAGTAGTATATACTGACCTTAGTACTATCTACTATCACTACAGTAGTATATACAGACTTTAGTAGTACTTACTATCACTACAGTAGTATATACTGACTATAGTAGTATCTGCTATCACTACAGTAGTATATACTGACTGTAGAAATATCTACTATCACAACAGTAGTATATACTGACTAGTAGTATTTACTATCAGTAGTATCTACTATCACTACAGTAGCATATACTGACTATAGTAGTATCTGCTATCACTACAGTAGTATATACTGACTATAGTAGTATCTGCTATCACTACAGTAGTATATACTAACTGTAGTAATATCTACTATCACAACAGTATTATATACTGACTAGTAATATT